AATTTGTTATGTTTTTGTCTTATTTATAAACAAAGCCGACTTGAACGTAATGATGGCAGCAGTCGTCAATAAAAACTAGGGAATGCGATTACGCATCTTTTGACAGGTACTAACAAAAATTTCAGCCATTTTGGACGTTCAGTTGTTGTTTGACAATTGTTTGAGTTAGTCGATGTGAGTATTTTTTAATTGAATATTTGTTTTTGAAATGCATGACGCCTACACAAATCAAATATGAGTTGGACGCTGTGTACCTTCATTTACATCGTTAAATTTTGGGCAGCTGAATTTAAACGTGGCCGTATTCGCTTGGGAGACGATGAACATTTTTACAACATATTTATAAATCTTTCATGCTCTTCGTCTCTATGGCTACTATGAGCGCCTCGAAATTCCGCAAACCATGTACATACAGTAGCCCGAGATGGTCTTTCGACACTTGGATCAGGACAACTTTAAAATCATAAAAGATGATAGCTCGGTAATGATCTCTCTGTAGTTTCGCACAATTCACTTAATTCTCAAATTGTTAGTTTAAAACTGATAAAGCTGAATTTATAACTGTTTAACAATAAAACATGATGCCGAATAAATGTGAACTACAACCTTTTTAAAGCAAATACTTCTTGAGAATCTCATTCACATCAGAGTGACCCTTGTATAATAAAATATCTATAACATTTAATTTTATTTTCGCCCAACCTGTATACTAAGTGTATATTTAGGAATCAAAAATATTATGTTAAAACGAAAAAAATTTCCGATGCATCAGCTTTGAGGATAATATGGTCATGTATCACCTTCCCACGCTTCCCCATACTATATTCAGTGCAAATATAATTTAGAATTACGTAGAAACTATACTTTATTTTCGCCGCTAAGGTCAATTTTCCCAAAATAGCCGACACGGCGAACAGGCGTTATCTAAAACCGAAAGGAAATGTTCTTAACGCTGGTTTGAAACTGCCGGTCCAGAACCGGCTTCAATTGTATCCATTACTTGAAATTAGACATGTTTTTTAATTTAAAACATTCCTTCTCTTTAACATGAATATCTGGTAATTTCATCTACTTTGATATATGTGTTTAGGTTTTTAAATAACTCTAATGACTTTGAAAAAGAAGTTGGCCACCACTATATTTAAAGCTTATACATTTAACTCTAGATTAGTGATAAAAATATAGAAAATCACTAACCACTAACAAATTATACTTAAAACATGCTTTAGATAAGATAGGTATCAAATTCTAATTCACATAAGTTTGCACATAATTCCAATTTAAAACAATTTATTGATCAATTTCACTTATCTTTTTGGTTAATAAGGTAATATACGGAATTGGTAAATTTAAGGTTAAATCAGGTATTTCATCCTTCGCTCCAAAATGTAGAGGTACATAACATTATACCCCGGTCAGGCAACTTCCACTAAGTAAATCGGGATCCATATTCATAATTCTCATTTGTGACTGCACCGTGAATGATCTTCAAGATATATGATTCTTATTGTGTTAGAACCAAAAAACGTCTAGTGATTGAATCGTGAATGATCTTCAAGATAAATGGTATTCATACTCAACACCGTCTAGAGATGAAACCGTCTATAGACAGCCATCATTTTATAAAATCAGACTGTCATTAACATAAATAAATATAATTTAATACATCGGATGACCGAGATACAAACAAAATTGAAGTGACCTAGTCGTCGCTGTCTGTTAGATCAAAATAAAAAGGTCTCTGCTTTTGATACAAGGCATAGACGACAAATGACATTTGAGTAAAAGGTGATTGTGTCCGAAATAACGAAATAACGGTTCCAACCGTTACATCTTTTCCAAAAAAACAATTTGATGTATTAACTCAATGAAACAACTAGTTTTGGCCATCAAGGCCATCCTCAAGCATATATAATATAAGGGAACCCACACTGAATAGCACAAGACAATAAAGCGCGGGACGGAATCGCACAAAGGAAACATCGCCAAGATAAAACAGCGCTGGAAGAAATAGCTCTTTCAAAGCGATCAGATAAAATAGCGTCGGAGAAATGGCGTTAGGACGTAGTAGAGTGATGAAAAAATAGCGAAAGTTTAGAAAAGCACTGGGTCAAAATACAGGAAAAACTAGCGCTCCAGGTTGCACTGGTTAGGTAAATTAGTTGAGTCATATAATTTTTCTCGAAGCAACTCACGATGGCTCCAGGATGCACAGATTAGGTAATTAAGTTTATTTTTTTATTTTTTTATCACCGCACTGTTTCCTCTTCCACCGTTTTGTTACAAAAATAGTTTGTCCTGTGCTATTTTGTACCAGCGTTTTTTTTAACTCTATTTAATGGCGATGCCAATATAGGTATTATAAAATCTGTAGCAGAATATCAAAATTGGACTGAAATATGGGGTAAATATAGGTAAAGCATTTTTAGATTTAAAAGATATGAACAAATAATGAAAAACTTTGGAGGAGTTAAAAAAAGCACTAATTTGAAGGTTAAATGATCTTAAATAAGTAAATATAGTTTGAAATTTAGCATCAGGTGGAAAATCACAAAATAAGTAGGTTAGTGCACTAAACAAAGTGCCAGTTGCATGGAAGTACCCAATATAATTATTATCAACTGAGGTTATTATTCTTTTGAAGTAATTTGTTCATATTTGAGAAAATTGACAATTTTTCTTCTTTCCTTATATTTTATCTAGATATCGAAGTAGTTAGTAGGAAGTATATTAGCACCAGAACCTAAAATACCTGGGATATACTCCAGGCGGAATCTAAAAAGAAATATGTATGAAAATATTAAAACCAAAGAGCAAGAAAGAATAGAACTGAGAATCAATCATCAAAAAACTTGCCTTTTAAAGGTATACATATGGTTCCAAAATCATAGACGGGTCTTGAAGAAGTCTTACTTAATCAGCTTACAAATGATCTGGAATTGCCTAAAAGAACTGAAAGAGATAAAGTAGCAACTAGTTCAGCAGATGATGAACCCAAGTCTTCTTTAAGAGCCGCTCTTATTCCTACAAGAACCATAGGAAGTTTCTCGGTCCATTTGTCATGACCGTGACATTTCAAAGCAGATTTTAGGGTACGATGGAATCTTTCAACTCTTCCGTTGGCACATGGATGATAGGCAGTAGTGTGAATGTGTTGAATTCCAAGGATTTCTGAAAATTCATGAATTAGTAACGATTCAAATTGACGTCCTCGATCAGTTGTAATTTTTAGTGGTATTCCAAATCGGCTTACCCAACATTAAAGAATATTTTTGCAACTTCCTTTGCTGTAATATCTTCAAGTGGAAATGCTTCTTTCCACCTTATAAACCTGTCTATACAAGTTAAAATATATCTAAAACCATTAGATGGAGGTAAAGGACCAACGATATCTATGTTAACATGGTCAAAACGTCTATTGGGGTTTAAATAATTGCAACATTTTGTCCATTCCACAAATATCCTTCTTCATTCCTTTCCAAACGTATCTATCACCAATTGATTTAGTGGTTGTTTTCTTTTCGGGATGTGTCAAACCATGAATGGTATCGAAAATTATTTTTCTAAATTTAATTGAAACATAGGGACGCAGGTTGGCTTGTGAATTGTCACAATATATCTCACAGTCTATATTAGTTGCCTTATGCTTTACTAATTTTAAAGAAGTATTTCCATTGATAAGATTCTGTAGGTCATCATCCTTTGCTTGATAATCAGCCCATTCTTGATAATTTATTTGATTTGAAAAATCAATTGAATTAATTCTTGATAAAGCATCGGCTACTGGATTGAATTTACCCAAAACATGCTGAATGTTAGTAGAAAATTGACTAATAAAGTCAAGGTATCTTGTTTGACGAGGAGTGAATTTAGTTGACTTTTTTGTAAAGGCAAAAGTAATGGGTTTATGATCCGTGAAAATAATAAATTCTCTCCCTTCTAATAAGTATTGAAAATATTTTACAGCTTTATATATTGCCAGTAGTTCCCTCTCATACACACTATATTTTTGTTGTGTTGGAGATAATTTTTTAGAGAAAAAACCCAAGGGTTTCCATTCATCATGCTTCCTCTGTTGAAGTACTGCGCCAATAGTAAAATCAGAAACATCAACCATAAGTGACAATTCAGAAGAGCTATCAGGGTGGTGTAGTAAGGCAGCTTCAGCTAAAGCCTTTTTTAATAGAATAAAAGATTCAGTTTGTCTATCTGTCCGAAACAACTTTTTATTTTTCTCAGGATTACCTTTCTGGAAATCATTAAGTGGATCCTGGATTTCTGCCACTTTTGGGATAGCTAATCTATAAAAATTTACAATTCCGAGAAAACGCCTCAAAGATTTTAGGTCCGTTGGCAAATCGTAATTTATTATAGCTTTAACTTTTTGGGCCGACGGTTTAACACCTTCACAAGAGACCATATATGCCAAGGAATAATATTTCTTTTTTACCAAATTCACTTTTCTCTGGATTAATGACAATTCCATATTCTTGCAATCTAGAAAATAATTCCTTTAAGTGCTGTTGATGTGTTTCATTTTGTGAAAAAATTAAAAAATCATCAATATAAGGAAAACAAAATTCAAAATCATGTGTAATTTGGTTCACAAATCTTTGCCATGTTTGAGCTGCATGTTTCAAGCCGAAAGGCATTTTTAAATATTCAAATAGGCAAAATGGAGTGATAACAGCTGTTTTATCTATATCTTGTGGATCTACAGGAATTTGGTGGAAGGCTCTAACCAAATCAATTTTTGAAAATATTTTACTTCCAGCAAGATAGTGCGTGAATTTTTTTATATTAGGTAATGGGTATCGATCTGGAACAGTTTTGGCATTTAATAATGTATAATCGCCACAAGGTCTCCAGCTCCCATTTGACTTACGGACCATGTGTAATGGACTTGCCCATGGACTTTTAGACGGCCGTATGATCCCATTTTCTAGTAAGAATTCAAACTCTTCTTTTGCTGCTTTCAGTTTTTCAGGGTTTAGCCTTCGTACTTTTGAGTAAACAGGATGATTTGATGAGTTATATTCGATAAGCTTCTTTGAACTTTTAAGGATGTACGGGTCAAATCTGGCATACTGTGCCAATAACTCATAGTATGAAGAAGACTTACTGATGGTTTTAATTATGGGAGTGTTTGAAATGTGTGGTTTTCCTCTGACTTCGATGGTGGTTTCTGTATCTCTTAATTTTTTGTTTTGTAGATCAACAGATATTCCATACTTCATCAAAAAATCAGCCCCTATGATTGCTTGATTTATGTCAGCAATAATAAATTGCCATCCAAAATTTCGTCTTAATCCCAAACTAACAGTTAAAAACTTTTCTCCATACGTGGTAATTTTCGATCCATGTATAGTGGTTTAGAAGTTGGCATTAGATTTTTATTTAATATTTTTGGTAGTATTGAAACACCAGGACCAGTGTCAATTAAAAATTGAATATTGGTATTATTGTCTTTAATAAAAAGGCGACAATTTCTTTTGCCAGATCCGTTAGTCGCCATTAACGAGCGGCTTAATGGTTTTCCAAATTATCTTTATATTTACAGGGTTTTGTACATTTTGTAGCTCGTTCTTTAAATCTTTTATGGTAATAACAAATATCACTTGATTCTTGAAAACGTTTGGAACTGGAAGGTCGAGGTGACCATTTTCTACTCCTCGATCTTGATCTGCTAACTTACTCAACTGTTGTAGGTAATTTGTTAAGCCAGGATATAATTATAAGTTTTTTAGACATTTGTTCAGATGCCAATTCAAACATATCTCTGTATAATTTACTAGGTTTTTTATCTCCTAATTCGCACTGAGAAAAAAGTTTATTCATTTTTTCTTTATCTGATATCTGATAACATTCTATTAGCTGTGTTTTTAATATGTTGTACGAATCAAGATCACACTGTATACTAAATAAATTACTATTTTCTTTTATAATTCCACACTCCAAAACCGATAAAACTTTAGTAAATTTTATATTGTTAGAAGTGATATTGTTTATCTGGAAAATGGACCCTGCCGCTTTAAACCATAACTCTGGTTCTCTCTTCCAAAATGAAGGTAAATCAACTGACTTTGCTCTTTTATTTTCTTTTTCGAAGGTATCAGAAATATTAGAGGCGACATTTTGTGTTATTACAGAAGTTTTCTTAGATATTTCGAGTATAGATTTTTCACATGTCTCAAGTTGTTTCGTGTTTTCGTCAATTTTATTAATCAGACGTAGACATACACTTTCTAAATCGGATATTTTTTAATGATCGCTTCTGTTTCTGATTTATTTGATTCTTCCACCACTGAATTTTTTGAATCGTTTCTAGCGTTTCGGAAAACTCATAATCTACTGGGTTTGTTATTTCCGGAAAACGGGTTTTAATAGCTGCTAGGGAACCACTAACGTCCATCCCAAAATGCAAAAGTACATCTCGCACCTGGTCTCTATTCAAATGTTGCAAGTGTATTTTCATGTTCGCCTCAATTGTCTGTTCAATAACGTTGGGGTCACCAATTTAGCCATTAACCACACACACACTGGATAAACTTTGGAATCGTTCATTTATATAAATTATATTTTATGAAAACTCAAAAACTAAAACTAACGTCAGAATTCAAAACGTCTCCACTTAACTATGGCAACCAGTCTAAGGAGCTCATACAGTTCACCATACCAGAAAAGATAGAAGACCTGTTTATGTCTGAGCAAGAAGCTAGGTATAATAACGAGAATCCTTACTGGGCATTGTCGAATCAAGGTACATCGTATTAAACTTGAACTAGTAGATGATAGTAAGTAGCAGATTCAGTGAAGAGTAGGGGGCTGAAACCTTTATTCACATTCTGACAGAATGTGTGCCACTATAGAATCTAATGACCCCACTTTTGAGAACAGTACAGATAAAAGATACGATTTGCCCAGCTTGAAGCCAGTCTAAATCCAAACACTCTTGGAAAGATAGAATTGGAAGGGCGTTATAGCTATCAAGACTACTTCATTTTTTCCTTAACAACGTATCACATATCTAGATAAGGAGATAGCTATGTGTAGTATCATAAATACAACTTTCTTTCTTATCAACTTAAAACTATATGGCAGTCAAGCTAGTGATCATTTTTTGGTTATTGCCCAATTTTAAAACAAAAAAACCCAATCGTCAAGCTAGCAGATTATGTCGTTATCGTTATTTAGTTTGTAATACCCTTCGATAATTGTGAATAGCCAAAGCAATTCTGAATTATATTTAATTTAGACTACCTCATAGCTATTGTAACGGAAAGCCGAGTCTGTTCTTTGTTTACTAGTTTACTATCTTGCCCGCGGTGTGAATTCTAGCTCTGGCCATATAGAGACAAACGCACTTATTCTAGAAGCTACCTGAGAGATCGCTGTTAGTTCTGGATCACCGAGAGTGTTCTGGTGCAGAGCTGGACTTATACAAATAGCGCGAGTTTGTCGATTGACGGGAACTTTCAATTTAGGTGCTGTATGGAAAAGATAAATTATAATAAATAAATTAGAATTGTGAGTTATAATAGTGCTTAAGTTTTAAATTTATGAGTACGTTATAAAAAAATTATACATCTAATTTTAATAGATAAACTATTTTTAAATTAAACAATCTTTACAATATATTTATATCAAACTTATTACTTACCTTAATAGGTCCTAATCCAATTATAAACAAAATGAGCATATAAAACTAGTTTCCTCAGTCATGAATTCAGGCTTTTCTAATAGACATTTTTGGGGAATATTTTAAGGGTATCTGGATGCCAATAACTCTTTTTTATTTTCAAAAGGCTAGTTGAGAAATAAAAATAACAAAATTTCAAAATGACAAAATTAACTGATTAACTCAAAGTTTTAGCAAAAAGAGAAGTGTTAAACCACGAAAGAGATTAAATATAAGATTCAAAAAGAATATAACGTGGGCTTACAAGCAAAAGGCATTAAATCAAAAATAGGTTTATGAGTTATAAACAATTTAGTTTCCATGAAGTTCCAATTTTTTATAAATTATTTAGGGGTTATCAACTGCTTCAAAGAAAATGTACATGCTTTCGTAATACAATGCACTGTTTTTACATAATATAAAAAAATATAAACCTATTTTGACAAATTTTTGACTTAGTGCCTTTTGCTTGTAAGCCCACGATAAACAAATTTTGGTTTATTATTTAGTTGGTGGATATGTAAAAATTTATATACTTTTAGAATTACCGCAATAAAAATATACGAGTCATATTAAAAATCCAAATCAAGAAAAAGCGAACTTACATGCATTTACAAACACTAAAAAAATTATCCAATTACTTATATCCAATAAATTTGACCATCGCAAAAGATATTTTTACCACTTGGCGTCAAAAATTTCACTAGCAAGAAATAGGCAAAATACAACATCACTCTCCTCCGTTGGCATTACAAGATCTATAGCAAGATACAGAAGTGGGAATCTGGACGTTGATCCTGCAAGTCAACTCAACGAGTCAACTGATAATTTCCTTATTATAATATGGTTACAGCAAGATGAAAATTTGATAGTTGAAAGTTGTGAGTTAGAAATTGGAAATCGAAAATCAAAAATCGACCCCCAGACTGCCATATATTCGCTCTAAACAAAATATAAATTCTGTTTTTCACGATGTTCTTACAAGAAATATAAGTTAAATTTTCAAAAAATTATTTTAAAATTTCCAGCAATTAATAAATTAGTCAGTAAATTACCTAAAAAAGAATTAATATACACAAGTCGAATAATTCAAAATTGATTTTCAAAAATTATACTTATAATTAAAAATAGGTAGAAATGTAAAGATTATTTAGATTTTTTAATAACTTTAAAAAACTTACCGCTTTATCACAGTCGGGACACTTTATCGAAATGTTATTTCAGGTCAACGATTGATTTAAGAAAGAAAGCAGACAAATTAATTGAAACATGGCTACGCCAGGTTTCCTCCTCTCAGCAACGGTGACTGCGACGACAATTTTATTTTAAATCATTTTAATAGAAATTAAATTATATATACGGGTTAGTTCTCATTTAAAATACCATTTTTAAAAGATGATTTTTAAAATTTTACACCCTCGATAACCGATTTAGTAAAATTTGATGCTAAAGGTAGGACATTTTCCGACTGTGTATAAATAATGTCATTAAAAAAATCTTTACAACATTACCAATATAAATATATAAAAGTGACTGAAATTGAGAAATGATTAAGTTACATACAATATTGAAATTTGCCTAGGAAAGAGGAAAAGATGGTTGTTCATAGAGACAGTAAGTATTATCATTAGTCAAATTCGTTCTACTCGAGAAAACAATTGTTTGACTAAAAAACACTCTCCTCTTCCTAAGGAAAAAGTTAAAATTTTCCAAAAAAATTGTCTAACAATTTCAAACTAAAACAAAAACAAAAATATAGTAACTGCCTTATTTTAGTCTCAGGAGACTATTGTAATCAAATCACAACCAACATCAAACATTTAAATTTGTTATCAAACTTAAACTATTTAAAAAGGTTGAAAAAAAATTAACGTAAATTCTGTAGGTAACATAGGCATTTTGGCGAAAATGCTACATTACTAAATGCTGAACAAGAAAAATTAAAATTAAAGAAAAAATTGAAGATACAACATATATAGGGACTTTAGACGAATTTTTTTAGATATTTTTGGAACTCCCAAATTGGAAGAGGTTACATAATTTCTGCCTGCACATGGGTCTTATGAGATACTTAACTATTCGTTAAGATTTATAATGAAAAGAAAAAATAAAAAAAAATCAAAAAATTTAAATTTTGACCGTAACCTATTAGATTCCCAAGTGTTTTACCTATAATAACTACTTAGGTCCTAAAGGTTGTGTTAATATATTAGGTCGTAATGTTAAGATAATAAAGTTGCAAAGATGGCTCGTTATACTAAAAATAAAAATAAGTGAAAATGACCTAAAGAGAAAAGTTATAAATAATAGATAAACAAAAATTAACGATAAATGAATCTGTAAAATATTTTCAACTAAATAAGGTTACATATGCTTCTTTTAAAATAACTTCACTAATTCTTTTAAGATAAATTAACTGTATGACATAATATACACTGACCCAGTGCATAAAAAGATAAGGTACGTACGATAATAATACACAAAATCAAATTTATATGGAATCACTGTTTCTGAATAAACTTTTTGTAAGGAAAACATTTGGTATCCAACTTTAAGATAAGGCTTTTTGTTCAAAACAAACATGATAATTTTATTTCGGTCCAAAAAACATCAAAATGCCTTACGTTGGACTAACAGATGTGCAGAGGGGAAGAATTATTGCTCTCATTGAACAGGGAATGTCCCAGTGAGACATAGTAGGCGATACCCAGAGTGTTGTATCGAAAACATATGAAAGGTACTTAGAACTAGAAACTATCAAGTACAGGACCAGACAAAGTCGTCAAAAAGTCACAACTGAACAACAGGACCGCTTTTTGTGCCAAATTACTAAAAGAAATACCAGTGTTTCTCATCTAGAGCTACAGCGATAACTTCTGGAAGCTACAGGTGTGAACGTTTCAGTTGAAACCCTAAAAAAAAGACTTCGAGCTCGAAGGTTGTACAGTAGGAAAGAGTAACGGGTCTCACCGTTATCTAAGCAAAATAAAATTGACCGACTCATTTGGTACCTTCAACACCAAAACTGGACAATTGAGAATTGGCAAAATGTTCTTTTTTCGGATGAGACCAAAATTGGCCTAAGGTCAGATGACCATCGAATTAATATTCTTAGAGCTCCAGGAAGATGAGAGAGACTCCACGCTGCAGATCTATCTCAAGATATCAAGGAGGAACTGTGATGTTCTGGGAAGGTATTATGCTGGGATCAAAAACTTCATTGTTACCATTTCAACAAACTTTAACCGGTCCTAGGTAAGTTGATTCAGTGCTAGAACCAATCGTTAGGCTTTGGAGAGCTGCAATTGGGGATAGTTCTATCTTTATGCACGATAATGCACTTCCCCACACCAGCAGAGTAGCTAGAGAATATCTTGAAACGGAAGGTGTTACAGTTTTAGACTGGCCTACATATTCACCAGACCTAAATCCTATCGAACACTTGTAAGACCAGCTCAATAGAAGGGTTAGAGCTCGTCGAAATAATGCAGGAAATGTCGCACAGCTTATTGATGCAGCAGTAGCAAAATGGCAAAACATACCCCAAGACAATGTTGAAAATTTATTAAGAAGCATGCCAAGGTGAATATAAGCTTGCACAAAGGATAGAGGTGGCAACACGGATTG